ATGTAACAGCTGGATATTGTTATTACTCATGTTCATTTTCCTGTGATTTAACAGAGCTTTGCACTTTTTATATTGGGATTTTGTAAAACTTTTGCCATTGAAAACTACAAAGTAGGAGAGGTTGTATCATGTGTTACTTAAATTTTTAAGAGAAAAGACCATCTTGCTGTAGTGGGTACTCAGATAATTTTTACTCTATATGCTTTGGTATTGCTGATATGGTTTACATGTTTTCCAGCCTGTGTTATACAGACCTAGTCCTGATAATGCATGTTTTAAAATGCTTCTTTGTAAATTTTTGTGTAATCGTAATTTATGCTTAGTTTTAATAACTTATTTTATTGGCCATTCATAAAATCTGCCAAACATTAGTATTTGGGAACTATTCCGTAGGACTTTTCAACTGATTCATTCCATTACTTATAACTGATTTTGCAGTATACATTACATTCGGGTTTCTTTTGGTCCAATATTGTATTTCTTCTTACACATAAGGGAAGTACTTAATGTTCGTCTGACTGCTTTGCTTGACAATCCTATTATGTGTTTGATGTGCCAAGAAAACAAAAAATGTGTATATATGAATCAGTCTTTAATAGTTCTGAGGAAACCATTTCCAAAACAATCATCACATATATCCTGTATTTTTTTTAGTTTTTTAAAATGTTTTTGATTTATTATTTGTAGTTAAAGACAGTTTTATACATATACTACTAAGTACTCCGATACAGTATTTCATGTGTATGACATTCATTCGAATGTTTTATTTACATCCTTGCTATGACCCAATAAACCCAAGTTCCAATGGAATATTTGTTTAACTATTTTAATTATATTTTACTAACAATAGCATTACTTTTTAAAAGGCTCCAGCGAGTAAGAGCTGCCTGTGTTCCACTGAAAGTTTCTCCACTTGCCCACAGTAATCCACCTCTGAACATGGAACTTAATTCTTGAGTTTCTGTTTTTAGTTTTCCTGAGGTTGCATCTTCAAGAATGAACACATTAAGAGAATCTTGCTCCCCTCTCCTCAATTTTGAAACTGTTTCAGGTGTATACCAGGAGTATGCCATCACTTCTTCAGGGTCCAACTAGTCCAATAAAAGAAAAGGGAAACACATGTGTAACTTTTACCAATAACTTAAAAAAGAGCAGCTTTTTCTCAAGAAAATACCAAGGAAAGAGATTATGTGATAATAAATACCTTGATCTTGGATGCCAGTTCATCTGATGTGAAGGGTGCTCTAGCATACAAATAAACTACAATATGGTGGCTTCGGGGAAGACCAAATGGTAACATCATAGGATACACAGATTCCCATAGACATAATATACTCATGTTTACATGTTCAGGTTTAAAGCTTAATCCAGTCTCTTCCTGTAATTCTCTCAACCCACAGGTAAACAATGATTCATCCTTCTCTGCAACATAAAATAATTTAGATTAAGTATAAAGAGGGTAAGCCGTTTGTTGTATTTCAGTAGTAACTACAAACCAAGGTGACCGCCTGGGGGAACCCATGCTCTGGGGAACGAGCGCATGTGCTGAGCTCTCTGAGTCATCAAGACCTTGCCATCAGATGATTCTAAAAGGACAGCAACAGCTACTGCAACACTCTTATCAGCTACAGGAGAATCGGCTAGGCTTGAGCGATCTTGTTCGGACAAATGCCTCACTGGACAATGAGATGCATGCTAGAAAATTAAAAAAAGAACATCAATACCTCAGGAACAATGTTTTAGGACAACATAAAGTACAGATAAAATATGAAACTGTACAGAGAGATAGTGAAATAGCTTAGGTAAATGGGGTAGGTCAAAACGAAGTTAACCGACGAGGCGAACAAGTCATACCGAAAACAAGGGGAGGCCCTATCACTTACCTCTAGTATGACAGGACCCACGGTATGCCCGTCGCTTAAGACTAGTTCGGGTGACACTGTTTCGGTCTGTGAGAGGTTATGATGCCCATGGTGACTGTCATTAGCAGGCGAAATACTGAAGACATTATTGGCCAGCTCGCAGATGACACTAGCCGAGTTACCCTTGAAGTGGAGATGGTCCAAGACACAAGATAGGAAGCCGACAATTTTCGTGTTGTTACTTCTCCCCAAACCTACAACAACACTTTTCATCTGCTGCGACGATACGGACGCCATTCTCCCCTTTTCTCGCAACCTCTCGCCCCTCTCGCCTTCTGTTCTGCCCCCTCCCTCCGCTGGGTTCTACCACTTGGCGCTTGGCCTGCATCTGTATACCCCTTTATTCCTTTATAGTAGTACGTGACCCGAGATAAAACGGGAAGAAAAGTACAGAACAACGTGCTTGCGTGCGGAGCAATTCACTGCGGCCTTGTACTCCACCAAACCATAGAGACCTGGAATTTTGAAAGATTTCTGATCGTTGAATCCTGGTTTGAATCTTATTCGGCTTCAAGTCTTTCTGGTGCGAGAAAACGTCCCTGCCGAGTATCTTTTGCTAGGAAAAGTGAAAAGGTCAAAAGGACGTTTATTTTCAAAAGAAAAAAAATATATACTGACGACCGAGCTCTTCGGCGCACTGCTGGAATTTTCTACGTTAAAACGGCCCTCAGCGGATTCCGTTCGAGTGCACTTCTATAGACAAGGCGAGACGATAGGTCGGGCGGCGGTTCTCGGTATTTTGGATCATTTACCACGAACGCACAGCCACTGCTCTTCACAACCACC